GAGTCAAGGTGGTAAATCAGCAATATCATGGTTGACAGTGGCCACAGATTCTACCGAAGGCAATATTAATGGTTTATTTACATGGCAAATAGCGTCAGAGCAGGGTCTTTCTGCTCCAAGACACATATTTATTTGACAAACTCGGTGTATATGTTACTGAATTTCGATCAAAATCATGTAGCTCGTTTATCATTTATGTCAAGGGCCACGTGTAGCCGAGTGGTCTAAAGCACTGACCGTTACAGATCACAACCATCCCACCTCTGTCTGCGTGAATTCGCGCCCAGACTTGGCTAACATGGGTAAGTGAAAAAGCCTGCCAGTACCTACTCGTGGTTCTTGCCCGGGAGTTCCAGGGTTCTTCCTCCACCATTAATTCTGGCTGCCATGTATAGCCTTCTTGTGCTTAAAAATGGCGTTAAATCCTACAACAACAACCAACAACAACAACAACAATCGTCTTATGTTTTTTATGGGTCGTGATCAGAATATCGATACTGGTTTACAAATATCATAGTTAGATTTTACAACCTTATATCCGATTTATTACTTTTCACTGGAACATTTAAATTTAATCAGACAATCAGTAGTCGAGCTCGTGTTAATAGGGACATTGGAGCCGTTGTAAATTATAGAGCAGTAGCCGTTATACTCAGTGATAAGACGATGTTACTTGAAGGTGTTGGTGGGCGAATGAGAGTCGTTGATGCTCCAGTAGAAAATATGTAACACATAATTAGATCATCTATTATAATTATAATGTCAAACCGTGTATATAGTGTTAAAGAAAGATGTCGAAGAAACGTTTATGCTAATAGCAGACGATAACAAATTAAATGCAACATCATATTGGTCTGGAATTCGTGGCTGAAACATCAAAATTAATTATTTACCATCATAGTATAATGAATGAAACTTCAATCGACGTTCAGCGTTACGTATTTAATCAAGTCTGTGGATGCCTGACCAAACTAAAAAATATATCATTGACAATTATACACTAAAAGTGAAAAAAATAGTATCGCAGACGTATGGTTGTCATTGAATAGTCATTTACTCAGTTTCTGCTATTGTTGCTGGATCCGGATTAATATTATCAACGATATCAATGACAGCTGCAGCAATTGTAATGATTATTCTTTCAACTTCTACGATCATCGCGTGTATTCTCAGTATTATCGCTAAAAAGATATCTACGTGCGCAAATGATCAATTACGTGAGTATATAATAGAATTACACACAGCAACAGCAGCTTATTCAAAACTAACTTTATGTGTTTCATTTTATCTTAGTGATGGTAAAATATCCGACGAGGAATTTGTAACAATAATGAAAACCTACGATGAAACATTCATAATCGCCACTGACAATAGCCTTACTGGAGAATTAAATAATAATAATAATAATAATAACAATAATGTCTGAGTCCTTGACAACGTCAAGATGGGTATTAAAGAAGATCGTTACTAATACGACTCCATCAAAAACTACGATGATCTCGTTAAATTCGACTAATCCTAAGTTTAGCGTTAACTTTCCAACTGCAATTCCTGCAAAAGAAATAGCGTTAGCGCAGCTTCGGGTTTATAACAGTTGGCCTAATATTAGATCAAAACCATTTGGTGGACAACAACCAAATAATTTATTAGTAGTTGCGAATAACAATATACTTGATGAAACTCATGATTGGCAAGTACTCTCTCTCTCTCTCTCTCTCTCTCTCTCTCTCTCTCTCTCTCTCTCTCTCTCTCTCTCTCTCTCTCTCTCTCTCTCTCTCTCTCTCTCTCTGGTTTCATAAAATATTGACAGTTGCAGAAATTATTTCAGGTAGGTGGTATTCATACATGCATAACAGTTGGCAGATCTGGATATGACTTTATTCCTACTACTTCTATCCATATATTGTCTTACAGAAGACAAAACAGTGACCGCCAACGAGAAAGGTATGTTTTATTAGTATGATCAACGTTACGAGATTAGAGTATTAGAAATCGTGTCTGCATGATATCTATTTTACTGTGTGTCAGCTTGTTTTAAAGAATTCATGCAACATCTCTCTTCTTTTCCATCTCCTTCCTTCTTATTCACTTTTTGTCCTCTTTACTTTTCTTTTACTTGTCAATAGTAACCGAAGTGTGGTTTGTTTAGTTGAATGAAATGAATATATTCAAAGATTTACCTATTTATGTTTCACGAAATTTAAAAAAGTAATTTTTATATTTAGCAGGTATCCCATGTATATCATACTTTTAGAGAATTTTTAAAAAGAAATCTTAAGCAAGAAACAGATAACATTTGTACAAATCATTGTAAGCTACGCATGTACTCTCGTATCTAGAATGTTCAAATAATAAACTAATACGTCTGAAATTGAAGAAATGTGTGAAACAAACTTGAAGATCCACGATCCTTTGACACTAGAAGCAAGTCTTGCCTTTGTTATAGCCTCTACTTTTCAATATAGAATGCTCATCCAGAAACGAGAAGGAGGATGGAGGATATTTCATACTGCACATGGAGAAGGTTCGTTTCGGTTGTGTAAAAAGGATAAAGGTCAACAAAGGATTTTATATCAAACTGTTGTTTGGATCATCAAATGCCACAAACGTTGAAGTAAGTTTTTCAATTTAAGTTTCCATTTTCAAAGAGGAAAGCTTCAAATAAAACTGCTGCAATGATATATTACATTTAGATTTTGAAGTACAAGTACCTCGAACGCAAAACGACTCACGAAAGTCTGTGTGATCACTAGTATCGGAAAACTCATCCACAAACAATACACTCCCAAAACAAAATACATAATCAAACATTTTGGATAAGAAATTTCTGTGTGCGTATCTACTTACGCTTATACTCACATAAATAATCAGACATAAATATAGAAATATTCATAAGTATAGACCCACGTATACACACATGCATACATATATAGAGATATAAAACTATACAATATTTTCAATACTGTAAACATACAAATAGACAGACACCTACATACTTACCTACATATCAGTAAGATAGTTAAATGGATATTAAATTTATAAAGAAATCGGTTCTTATTTCTTTGATACGTTCCTAAATTAAATTAAATACTCCATTTATAGGTCGTGTTAATATCATCATTTGAAGGACGTTCTTTTTATATTTGCGCACGTATATATATATATATATATATATATATATATATATATATATATATATATATATATATATATATATATATATATATATAATTGATTAATTTACAGGTTGCTGAATTTAGTAATGGTGCGAAATCTCTTGTAAAGACATTTAATACTAATCCTGCGATGTACGAAAGTAAAGAAAATGAAATTGAAGTGAGGATACACACTTATTTAACTTCTTTGGAAGTGCAATGGAGGAGAGGTAAAGAAATAGAAAATAATCCTAGAATGTTCTTTTTTACATAAGCAAAGAATCTGGCAACGAAGTTAACGTGAATAGGTCCAAGTTTTTTTACAAGAAAACTTCTAAAGCGAGAATACGAACAGTTAATTGGCCGGAAAAGTAAATTCTTTGCTACACTCTCAAATGAAGCATTAATTTCGGTTGCTCCATTTAATTTGTCTCGATCTTTACTTTTTGTTTGAAATTTTATTCGTGATAACTAATATCTTTCATTAGCAAAAGTTTATCTTCCTCTTTGATTAATGAATGTTGGAGCTCGAATTGTTTTCAACTTTTATTAATAAATTAGTCATATAAAAGGTCTTGTAGATATGTAAGCAGCCAGGTACTTCTGAAATGCCACCAACAATTTCGTCATCTTTACAAAACATTAGATTGTATTTAATGACTTTATTGGTCGTTTGGTTGCCTATCTAACGTTTTAGCAGCCATGAATTGACTCACAGTCCATGCATGTGATTTGTTATGTAGGTACATAATGAAAGACTGTCCTTGATATAGTGTTTACCATCAAGTCTCATGTTATCTCCATCAGCATCTTTGTACTTTCTATTTGCATTTTAATGCATAATTAGTTTATATCGATCTATTCCGGAATCCTCTGAAAGTAATCAAGGTATATAGGATGAATTATATAAAGAATTATAAATATACAACACCGGACAGAACGGAATGTGCTATCCCTGGACTCTACTAAAGAATGCTTGATAATAGAAAGAGAGCTAGGCTTTTGGACATTTTCAAATTTAATTAATAATAATCGATTTTTTGAACATTATAGTATTTTTAAGAAACAACAACAAACCATAACATTCAATACATTACAGTATGAGTACCACGTAACCGAGGATTTGCTGTAAAATGTCGACCTGATTTGCAATATTGTATCTTCGATAAGCACTGTAGATAACTCCCAAGGAAAGTGCACATTTATCTTTACGACGAACCCTATTCTTGTAGGTTACTTAGTGTAATTTCTTTTTCAAGATTTCAATTCAACCCAAATTCCTTTTCTCTCTCAATCCACATTCTGCATTGTTTGTCCGTTATGCATGAGGGTGGAAGGGGAAACATAAATCAAAAAGGATTGTGATAAAAATGTATACCATATTAGATTAAGTTAAAAATGAGGATTATTAATGCTTTTTATCGTTATTTTCATACGTCACTAATGATTAATATGTCGAAATTCATCAATGATCTAGATTCAACTGCACACGGTCGTTAGAATGTTTATATATGCGTATCATTAGGCCATTGGCGGATAACAATTTGATACACCAATGTTATTGGTATATCAAATTGCTTTATACCAACACTTTAAATGCCATTTTATTTTATTTTATTTTAATGTATGTGATATATATATATATATATATATATATATATATATATATATATATATATATATATATATATATATATATATATATATACACACACATACAGTGTGTGTGTCTGGTGTTTGTGATCTCTTTAAAATTTCTTTTTCTGAACCCTCATAGTATAGAGACAATATTTATTACTATAAAATTATTTATGTTCGTTATTACCCTCAGCGTTGGCTCCGACCACTCCGGTGGCTTAAGTGGTTAGAGAGTCTGCCTCGGATGCGGGAGGTCACGGGTTAAAACCCCGGTCGAGACATGCTAGTGATACTAGCAGCTACCCCGCCATACGCTCAACATTAAGAGGTTAATATTAATATTGGACATCATAGTGTCAAGTTAATGTGACTGCGTATGACCTGATGCTACACGTCTGTGGCATGATGCCCTAGTGCTAGACATCACTATAAAATGCCACACTGCAGACATCTTAGCAATATGACTGAAATTGTAAAAACTCAAAATTGCTCTCTGTCTCTCTCTCTCTCTCTCTCTCTCTCTCTCTCTCTCTCTCTCTCTCTCTCTCTCTCTCTCCACACACACACACACACACACACACACACACACACACACACACACACACACACGCGCTTGCTTGCTTGCTTTGACATCGACTACGTTTCCTGGAAATTGGTTGTGTTTCTAACTGACGTGAAAATCTTTCCATTTGTTTGATACTGTGCAGTAAGATTGTTGAATCAACGATTTTTCAATACCTGACCTCCTTATTTAACTTCTTTCATGAATATTTTGATATTATTATTATACACAACAGGATTTTCACGAAGATAAAATAAATGCCTCATATATTTTATTCTTTTAGTTCAATTTCATTTAAATTATTTTTTAGGTTTAAATGGTCTTTTTCAAAATTAACAGGTCAGTTTTTAAAGAAATGTCGGACGTATGTTTCTTAAAACCTTTGTAATGAAGCAACAATATCGATACATGAAATTAATAAATAATACCTCTTAAAATTTAAAAAGGGAACATTAGACGATTAGGAAAAAACACCCCACCACCCAAATATCAGCGTACAGGGAAATGCAAACACCTATTTATCTAAATCCATCATGCAAAAGAGATGTATCCATTTTATAAGACCTGAGAACGAAAAACTATAGATAAAACAATAACCTTGAAATCATTTACTTTCTATGCTCCCCAGTAGGTCACTCAAAGTTATACATACTGCAACATAAGAAACATGTAGATTAGAAGTAGAAATAAATAATATTCTGGAAACTTATTTAGCTGTCTGTATCTTGAAAACATTCCTTCTTTTGCCAGAATAACTCAACGACTTAACATAAATATACATTAACCCAATGTATAGTTAGATTTGGAAAGGTCTATTCAACTTCAACATATGAATTACCTTTGATATGTTTAAAGTTACCAAGAACCAATTTTGCTATTGATATAAACCATTTCTGATATTTTAGTTTCAATTATAAGCATACATACTGCTGGTTTGCTATTGTTAAACGATAATCTGTCTAATGCCAAATTTTCATTGCATGCATTTATTTCCTGTTGATGTATATTACCACTAAGGGAGCCTTTGGTTGATAAGCGTAAACTTCAATCGGAACACCCATGGCATTTTCCATCAAGTCTAGAAAGAAGGTCTGATACAGTCAGTCGCCACTGAGAACAGAATTCGAGCCAACTTCGGTTACATGGAACAATATGCGTCAGAATCGGAACATCTCGAACTTTGTAGTCATAACATTTATGGTGTTTTGCGCCAGCGGCGAATCACCAAACAGATCAAATTTGTGTGCATTCCTACAATTACTTCCAACATTATTCCAGGATGTGACGAAAACAGTTGAGTGATATGCCAACATGGAGTAACGTGTACATTTACGCATCGCGGAATTTATTCTTTGGATTTAACGATATTCAGATGTGTACATAGCGCACTCGAGATAGATTTCATTGATAGCGGCTCGAATTTCTGCTGTATGAAGGTTTGTAAGTCCATATACGTAGAATGCAATTTTAGCAGTGAATCGGTTTTGTACAGTAATAAATTATTCAATTGCAGAACAGCTTACGTAATGCCAACAATGGAATTCTAAGGTCGCAATTCCACGTAAGGTACTTAACCAGCGACGTTAACGCTAAGCTGATATAAAGATTTTAAGTCAAGTGAATTATGTATTCTAGTGACTAGGAAACATTTCAAAGGACATGATTTTTGTTGCCATAAAAGTACAATATATTGACAGTAGAAATATAATTCGTAATTTTAGGGGGTTTTCTTTCTCTCTGTGAAATGATAGAGAAATTACCATATGTTGTCACTTTAAAAAAAAAGGTAATTGATTCTAGCATTGGACAATTATTGATTCATCTTCAAAACCTAACTTCCGTGTATTCCATATTGTTATAGTCTTCAGAATCAGTTTCACTTTATCAATTTTTCAATTGCTTGCCCTGTTTTCATTTCTTTTTAATTAAATAAGCTGTAATGTTATTACAGAGACAGGTCAAAACTTAATTCTTGAGGAGAAAAACACAGCGAACGTAATAAATCAGTGTATGTATGTAATCATGATAAATTAACTCATAACAATACATTCTACATTTAGCAACAGGAGCTCCCCTCTCAGGAAGGAATTTGTTTGTCGCGTTGACATTTTAGGATAGATTGTATTAAATGAATAACCCATAGAAATAGACACTGTCCGGAAGGACCTATTTTCAGTTTCCACGAGAATTTGTGTTGATTCATCGTCAGATAGTTTATATTGTGTGCAGGGAATACAAACAGTCTGAACAATGATATCACGTGACTGATGAGGCTATGATTGTGAGGGGCTAAAGTTTGATTAAGTATTAATCCCAATCGACGTATCACACAAACATCTCAAATTTGATTACGGTCCATTAACCACAGTCAAATTCTCACACAAATATCTCAAATTTGATTACGGTCCATTAACCACAGTCAAATTCTCACACAAATATCTCAAGTTTGATTAAAGTGTATTAATCATAATCAACTTACCAAACAAATATCTCAAATTTGATTAAGTTGAATTAATCACAATCAACGTATCACACACACACACACACACATACATACATACATACATACATATATATATATATATATATATATATATATATATATATATATATATATATATATATATATATAAAGTTTTATTATGTTGAATTAATGACAATCAACTTATCACACAAATATCTCAAGCTTGATTAAGTTGAATTAATCACAACCTTATTATACACAACTCTTAAGTTTCTCATTGTCAAAGTCTTGCATGTGACATTAAAGTGTACTGTATAATACTTTGTTTACTAAACAATACATACTTTAAGTTTCGAATTTCAAAATGTAACTAATTTGTTTCAGTTTACATGGAATTAATAAAGTTTAAACATGGCAATTTTACACATCTGGTTCAACCAATCAAGTGATCAACACAAAGTTTTTTACATTAAATTTTGCACTTCAAAGTTTAATTTACACATACATGACATATCCCATTTGGGGAAACAAGCTTTCATGTTCTTTTTTTACACTTTAATTAATTCCAAAACAATTACATATTTACCCCCTTGTTTCCCAATCATGTCTACTTTTCATCTACCAAGCTCTTTTGTAATTTAAGTTTTATATATATGTGTGTGTGTGTGTGTTTTATGTGTGTATCTGTATGTATATAAGTATATAAGTATGTATATATATATATATATATATATATATATATATATATATATATATATATATATATATATATATATATATATATATATATATATATACACACTTTCTTTTACATTCTTTATCTACGCTGTTTCCGAGGTTGTCAAGCGCTGCATAATTTATTGTCTTACCGCCTTACAGAAATGCTTTCTTCAATGATTTTTGATACGCGGTAATAAATCATCGATTGTCCACTTATCTTGTACATACACTATAGAAATATTTGCTACACTTTTTGTATCTCTTCTCTCTCCATTCCTTTTTTCATGCTGTCAAACGGAACAGTTTTGCATTGACTGGTAAGAGTAAATAACCGAAGTATAAAATGTAGGCAATGGTTGAAAGTGTAGCAAAATGCAAGATGAATATCAATTATTTTCTACGGGACTACTTGCGTAGTTTATAGCATAGGACATTCATTAGTAATTAGTTCCAACTATTCGTCAATAATCGAGATGGACTGCCTAAGACTCATCAGTCATCTTACGTCTTCCAATAGAATTAAACTGGCTAGTTTTAAACGGAATTTGTACACTTGTGAAATCTAATTGACATGTCGCATCAACTGACGCGATTCAATTATGCAAAGATAAACTAGTGAATGCATGCATTGAGATTAAGAAAATCACAATAATGTTGACTCCCGTCTTAATTTGATTGTAAAAATCAAATATTTTCAATGTATGCTTTAATGTATTTGCAAACTGAAGAAAATAAAATTTAATTGAAAATTAGTGAAGAAGTTTTATTAATAAAAACTAAATATACATGGACACCCAAATGCAGTCCTAAGTTTACGTTATCTTTTCGTTTGCACGAAGAAACAATATTATACATTCAAAAAAAAAAAAAAACGAACAAATTATATCCGTAGAAACACAAACGTTCCTGCATAGAGAACTATATATTTGACTACAATGCATACTTTCTGGCAAAATGGAGGACACATTGCTATTGTTGCAAACCATGGGTCTTTACTTGACTGAGCCGCGTCAAAATATTGGTTTGATTCCCGCTAAAAGTCATAAGATTACCACAATTTTGCAAAGACTTCTAGACAATTTCAGTTTTAAATTAGAATGCCCGAAGTGTCCTTTCTATGCATAAATTTTATTCTAATCAATACAAAACCAAATATTTCTCAAATTGCCAAATATCTATCAGCTGTACATCTGCACAGTTTCTCTTCATCAACTTTCCATACCGTCAGCAGTTTACGCCGTAGAAACTCTAAAACTAACACCTAACAAAGGGAACTATTTTAACTACGCCACCTTATGCCAGTCAATCTATGGTCTCAAGGCATATCAGGTAAGTATAACAAACATCACATTTGCCACCCTGGCAACATAAACGGTGTCTGCCGAGTCCCTTCCTGTTTATTCCATTGTGTAATTTACCGGTTTCCTACCGTAAATACTGCCACTGCAGTCACAAAATCACTATACAATGTAGATTTTAATAAGAATTACATTATGACAAGGAGTGTCATGCGGTTTGAATCTGAATTCACTACT